ATCCAGTATAGGTCACCATTAGGTCAAAATGTCATTATGTGTGATACTGTGAACTAATAACATTCCCATCAGCCTTCGCTGTACTATATGTTTAGTGCTAATTAGCAAATGTTAGCAAGCTACTACATTAAACTAAGATGGTAAACATTATACCTGATTAGCATCAACATGTTATCATTGTGAGCATGTTAGCAGTGACGTTAGCATTTAGCTTAAAGCAGTACTTTGCCTTAAAAACAGCCTCACAGAGCTGCTAGCATGGTTGTTGGTATGTGGAATTCATATCAGCTCTGCATTGAGAAGGGTGTTAACCACATAGGTAGTTAGGTAGCAGTCCAAGGTAGTTAAATCTGCAAAGCCAGTTATGTGGCTTTATATATCTGTTTTAGCCTATTAAATAAGATGTTTTCTGAAAGTAAACAAAGAAAAGAAAATCAGGATGTTCACAAGTTGCAGATTTCCCAGCTTATTCTTATTACTGGCTTACATTAGCCAGTCATGTGTGGGCAGTAAACCAGAGACCAGAGTTCATAAGTATTGCAAGTAGTAATAAAGCTTATTTGTATGGCGCTACCACCCTGAAGAAGTGAGCTATAAAGCCACGTTGAAACAGGCTACGTAGTAAAATATATGATTAATACACAGTGGTAAGATAATTAACAATAAATACATAGTAGGCCTAGGTGATAAAAAACACAGAGAGATACATAAAATAAAAATGCAGACCTGGTGCCTGTCTAAATATATGTGTTTGTAGCTTTTTAAGGTAGCGCATTAAAACTCAGTGTTAGCATTGTGGTGTTATTTGTTGTTTTGTTTTGTTGGCAGTTTGTTATAAAAAAAAAGGACCAAGCCCTGCTCTGTTTACCCAGTATGGAAATGAACACCCGTGCACTTGAACACCAGCACTTGAACCTTTGTCACTGTTTCATGTTAAGTCCAGTGTGCGGGAGTAAACCACCTTAACAATGACCATGTGTCACCATGTGAATACAAATACACCAGGAAGCTCTTTTTAAACCGTCTCTCATTTCTTTTTTTTCATATCCTGCTGCTCTTGCAACTGTTTGTTCACATCGTCTTGTTTTTCACCTGTTACCACAAATCTGACACCATCAAAGTTTTCATCGCCATGCACAAGCTGGTCTGGTTTCTGCTGCATGATTAAACCACAATACATGAGAATGTCACTACAGACTGTGTTTGATCTGGATCTGAACTGTGTGGCACATAGTGGCAGCAATAACGGTACAACCAGTGCTGAAATGTACTTAAATACATTTTTAACGTAATTTTATGCTGTTTATATTTCTACTTCGTTACATTTGAGAGGTAAATGTGATATTTAAATATGCCTTCTTCACCAATCCTGATGGCACTGACAGTCTTGTGGTGCATATCTGTGAGTGTTAGGGGTTTAGTGTGTGTGTGTGTGTGTCTGTGTGTGTGTTTGTCTACAGATGGTCAGGTTCATTCATATTCAGACAGAATGAGTTTCCTGCCTCTGAACAATTGTGGGAAAACCAGAGGTCAAGACAAAAGGAGAAATAAAGAGGCAGAAAAAGACTGGGCTGCATCCAAATGGCCTGCAATAACTTCCTGCTTTGTTCCTGGTGGATTAATACAATGTGACAGGTGAAATCAATTGCCTGCTGGGAGTGTTTGGATTGACCTCAGCAGGTGGAGACGTGAGAATGATGTGGGAACAGAAATAGAAATTAATGGAATAATAGAGTAGAAATCAGTATTGGTTGGTCACAGATGGTCCCGGGGGCTTAACACTGCAGAGGCTGACTGCAGACTTTGTTTGAGTTCGGATGTCCTCCCAAATGCTCAGCAGTTTTTCCTCATTTAAAGAAATACATGTTTGAAATGCTCCTGCCATTGCTCTTGAGCAAGGTACTGACCTCAAAACTAGAGTTGGCTGCACTATGGCGGCCAACTAGGACTTATTTTACCCAGTTTACTTTGCTTGAATTCGCCTATTCAACATTTATAAACAGTATATAAACACTTTTTAAAACACAAATTGTTTACAACCCACGATAATGTATTAATGAGCAGATACAAGGACATGTTAAGTGTTTATTTATGTGTTAACTCCTCTTGAATAAACACACATGAACAAATACTTACAGCTTGTTATAGAGCACTTACTTACTGTTAATAGACATGAACATCAAATGTATGTTTAAAATTGCTCAAAATGAAATCATGAAGACATGTCGAGCTTGATGGTTCATTCATTCAGAAATAGCAGTTTCACAAAAAATTATTAACTCAATACTCTTACTAGATTTCTCCCAGGGTTTTCAGCTGCAACTCATCAACAGACAGTAAGTCGTCGATCAGTCATCACTGAGAAAGAAGTGAACATCATCAGTCATTTTTTAAAATATATTTACAATTTGTTAATTGATATAATACATAAATTCGTATTGTGATGTGCAAACGGCCCTGATGACAGCAGGTGGTTTATATTACATTTATTCATTTAGCTGACACTCTTATCCAAAGCGACTTGCAATTGCTATATATATTAATTAGGGGTTAAGTGTCTTGCTCAGGGACACACTGGTGGATGTGTCACAGTGGGGAGTTGAACCCGGGTCTCTCACAACAGAGGCATTGCACCATCACCACCCACGCTGTTGGCTTGGCTTTGCTTTCCACCCTGCCATTATAACCACTAGTATATTGTTACATGGTGCATTGTTCTGTTTCTTTGCCCTGATTAACAAACTGCCTCCAGTGTTCATTCAAAGTCACTTCACTATATGCTTTCAGAACACCCAGAAGATAAAAGATCTGACATTTGGGAGTGCAGCTTTCTTTAGACCCAGCACACACTCCTCTTATAAATACAGTTTATTTTAACTCTTGAAGGGATACTCCACCCAAATGCTAATCCTTTGATTATTACACAGTGCCCAAGGCTTGAAAATTGCTGCATGGTTGTAGTGTCATCCTTATAGTGAACAGCTGCTGTGGTCATCTTGGATTGAGGATTGCAAATTTGAGTTAATCACAGCAAAGAAGTATAAAAATTGCAGAAATGTCTCAGACATTTTCTACTTCTTTGCTGTTCATGTGTATCCTCAGTGTGTTCCAAAAATCTTTTTATTTTTGTCAATATATGCAAATGATACATTGTTTCCAGACAACCAAACAAGCCCAGTACATTGCAACATACTGAGCACAAAACATGGACTCTATGAATGGAGAGGTTTTAACAAGTTTTGCTCCCAAAGTTGATACTTTTGACGGTTGGAATAAATTGTAAATTACAACCAAGGTTACCACAGCTACTGTTCTCTACTAACCCAACAACAACCATTACTTTATTTACCAGCCAATCAGAGCAACATGGCTCACTGTCTTCCTGCCCAACAACACTGCCATGGACAAATACTTTTCCCTTGTACCACCAAGGTGTATATATTTGTAATACTTCAGTTCAGGCTCAACTGATACAAACTTGTACCTCAAACTATTGACAACCACTTTGGTCCCTTACATCAAACTGTATGCATCTGCTGTCAAAGAGGGACCATTTTGTTTGCTTTTTAGTATAAAATCCACACACATAAGAACACATACTGTATAACAGTATGTTCCCTGCCAGTCAGTCAGAACTAAAGAAGTCCTTTGGATGAGGGACGAAACGTCTTCCAGTATCTTCAACCAAGTCCAGTTGCCCTTGATTTTTAACCTTCGTTGTATAACACACTTAGCTGTGTGTTGTATGTCTTACTGCTGCATTAATTAACAAGGAGCCAGTTAAACATCAATCCCCCTCCATTTACATTACTTGGACTTAATATAAGAAACACAGTTGTGTCAATTAATTGTTTTATTTTAAAATATTTTCATCACTTTTGTGACTGTCTTGAAATTTGAAATTTGTATATTCTGTAACATGAGTGAGGAACTGCAACGCTACATTCAATTTACGTTAACACGGCCTTAATATTTATATTAGATCATTGTTAACATCTACAACTCATCATTGAAAAGAAAAGATGGACACTGTAACACATTCAAAGCAGATATGATGCCAGATGCTAACACTTTCAGTGAATATCCTGAAATATTCATGTTTGTCACAGTGAGAAAGTGCAAATCAACATTCTTTGGTGGGAATAACCGAAAAATATGCAGATATTTCTTGAATATTGTATGTGAAGCATCTCTCTTGTCTTGCTGGTCAAGTAATTGTTGAATGTTTTGTAGATTCATGAGTATTCACTGCCCTGCAGTGGCCACAGTGGGAAACTGCACAGCATATTGTACATCACACACACATACATCAGCAATAGTGATGTGTGATAATCATACTAACAATGATTTTCACGTTAATAATTATTATATAGGCCATAACACATGGTGACTATATTATCTCCACCAGTTAGAATTATTGTAAGAAAATGCATCTATTAATAAATAAAATATTGTTAGGATTATAGAAATCTGTCTGTCTGGATTCACAGGTTCACAGTCTTGTTCTGTCATAAACATTGATAAATCGTTTTTTTAAAAACTTTATTTAGAATTCAATTTAAAGTTACTCCATTTCAAGTTTAAAAGACTCAAAGTACATATCAATTTCGATTATGGATACCTTGAAACATGGGGTTGACTTAAAGCATTTAGCTTTGTGAATATGTGAATAGGAAACTGGTGCCTTGTCTGTCTGAAATCTACCTCATGTCAAATTGATATAATGCACACATGTTGGATTAAAAGACACGCGCACAGACAAAGAGTGACCTAATCTATTTTGTTTTCACCATTTTCTCCCCCTGAACTTTATTGGTTTGAAGCAGGAAGCGTGCCGCGGGAAAGAGCAGCAGGACTTTGCGTCAGTTGACGTATTCGCTCCTGATATGCTACAAGCCCCGAGGATATTTGCATAACATCAGCGATTGGTCGAAAGCGGCGCGCCAAAGATCACGTGTCTCTCTTTTCGCGCGAAACTTTTGCTCAGTTGTCGGGACTTCAGCGCGCGGTGTGTGTGTCCGGAGAGAAGCAGTGCGGATCTGCAGGAGTTTTTCATTGTTTTATTGCAGTTTGACTTTCTTTCAGCATGGATGTTGCAACAGCAGCCGCGGAGAATACCGGAGATATTGTGAAGGACGAGTTGGCTGAAAAATGCCAGAAGTTATTCCAGGCTTTCTTGGAGGAGTAAGTCACTCGGCAGCAGGCTTCATTGTATTGTTGTCGGCCGCTGTACACGAGTTGATCGCATGCTGTCTCATTTAAAAACGTATTCTTGATCCGTAACTATGTTGATCGGCTGTTGATCGTGTATTTCATTATTTTGTTGTTATCCTGTATCCGTGTGCAGGTTCCAGACCGGGGATGGGGAGGTGAAGTATGTCCGGGAGGCCGAGGAGCTGATCAGGCCTGAGAGGAACACCCTGCTGGTGAGCTTCACAGACCTGGAGGGCTTCAACCAGGAGCTGGCTACCACCATCCAGGAGGAGTACTACAGGTGAGCTCACCACATGAACCCACTTGGCGTCCTTGCAGCCTCACTCTGATGTCTCTAACAGGCTGTTTACCATTAGTTACCATCATTGCTACATTTTAAAGAACTATAATCGGCATAGCTGGGAAAACTTCATCAGATACAAAAATGTCTACTTATTTTCAAAGATTATGCACAGTCCTGCGCCTCATCCTCTGTCTGGCCTCATCAACTTCAGAGTTTGGGCAAAAAAACTACACTTAGCCAAGCCGTTTTTTCATTCACAGCATCAAATCAATGAAACTGGCATCAATTAAACAATCCCCATCCTACTACTCATTTCAGGATAATGTTAAGAAATGGCTTATTGAAAACCATCATCATTTGTTTAATAGATTTTGACTTTTAACAGTGTAACTGTAACAACTACTGTATAATGTATTATATTAGCTTATTATTTTAGGATGCCTAATAACATCGGGCAAAGGGACTGCAGATGAAAATTAGCCTGTGGCTAACTTGGGTACATTTACATTTGTTTTGAATGATGATCAATGTACATTGTCCCTTTTTCAAATAAACAATAAATGAAATGGAAAGAAAATTAAACAAGCTGAAGTGAGCGACATGTTCACTTGGTCTCACCTGTAAAGCTGGTGTGCTAGTTATAGGTGCGCACACACATTATACTCTGTTTTGGTGAATGAGCTGTGGATTAACATGACGAATTGTGTTTTCAGAGTTTACCCCTTCCTCTGTCGGGCAGTGCGCAACTTTGCTCGGGATCATGGGAATGTTCCTCTCAACAAAGAGTTCTACGTAGCCCTGGAGGATCTGCCCACCAGACACAAGTAAGACACATGACTAACCTAAATCAAGTGCTGGTTTTGGTGTGAAGCAACTTCTTAGTTTTCAGATTGCTTTGTTGGCATGTTGCAGTGAACTCGCACGCTGTTGTAGCCTCAGTGGAAATGATCTAGCTGCTGTATTTGTATTTGTCAAATTCCGTTTAATGGAAGACTTGTTTCATTTGTTAAATGAGCAAAGCTGGAGCAATTGATCAAATATGAGCCTTTTCTTGTGCGTTAATTCAGGATCCGTGAGCTGTCATCCATGCGTATTGGCACCCTGGTGAGGATCAGTGGTCAGGTGGTGAGGACGCACCCAGTGCATCCTGAGCTGGTAAGACTTCAAAATTTGCCCATGAGGTAGCAGCTGCAGGTGCTCCACGCTAACAAATCAAAGCTGCAATGTATAAGTAAAGCTTGTCTGTTGTAGTGCTATCTTTATAATGACTTTTCTGCGGCTATAGGTGAGTGGCACATTCCTGTGCATGGACTGCCAGGCAGTGATCAAAGACGTCCCCCAGCAATTCAAATACTCCCCGCCAACCATCTGCAGAAACCCTGTGTGCAACAACCGCTCCCGCTTCCACCTCGACACGCACAAATCCAAGTTTGTTGACTTCCAGAAGGTAATTGAGAGAGGACATGTGTGTATCGATGCATAAATATTTAATGGGTGCACTGGCGACGGCCTAAGCCCTGAGGTTTCTGATTTAGTCCAACTCTGTGCGTTCAGGTGCGTATCCAGGAGACACAAGCAGAACTTCCTCGCGGTTCAATCCCACGCTCCCTGGAGATCATCCTGAGGGCCGAGGCTGTGGAGACGGCTCAGGCCGGAGACCGCTGTGACCTCACCGGGACCCTCATTGTTGTGCCAGACGTCTCTCAGCTGAGCACGCCTGGTATGGTTTTGACCATTACATATTGAGCCTCCAGTTGACTTAAATTGTCACCGATTGTGACAAGACAGTGCTTGAACAAGTTGAATTTTTATTTTGACACCTCATGGCTGTGTGTACGGGTGGTCTCTCTCCAGGTGTGCGAGCAGAGACTAGTACCCGTTCAGCCGGAGGACGCCAGGGCTTTGAGTCTGAGGGCTTGAGAGGACTGAAAGCTCTGGGAGTGAGAGAGCTTTCATATAGACTGGCCTTCCTGGCCTGCAACGTGGCCCCGACTAACCCACGGGTAAGAGCAACGCATTTCAATAGTAATCACGTCGTTCTCTCCCCAAACTAAAGAAGCAAAAAAAGCTCCTAACATGCCCGGTGTTTAATTGTGCATTTTCTCTTGTTTGTAGTTTGGCGGTAAGGAGCTGCGAGAGGAGGAGCAGACTGCAGAAAGCATCAAGAGCCAGATGACCGAGAAGGAGTGGGAGAAGGTGTTCGAGATGAGCCAAGACAAGAACCTGTACCACAACCTGTGCACCAGCCTCTTCCCCACTATCCACGGTCAGTGCTCAAACCATCGGTGGAACATTTTGTCTATCCAAGGCAGTGTGTTGAAGGGTGTTACTGCAGCTGACTGTTAAATAACACAGCTTGTTCTTTGTTTTTTATGCAGGCAACGATGAGGTGAAGCGCGGCATCCTGCTGATGCTGTTTGGAGGCGTTCCCAAGACGACCATGGAGGGAACTTCGCTAAGAGGAGACATCAACGTCTGCATCGTTGGAGACCCCAGTACAGCCAAGAGCCAGTTCCTCAAGTATGACACAAACGTACATGTTACTCACAAGTTCACACTTCACTTGACAAGCATTTATCGATTACTTCATCATGATTGGTTTGCTACATTTACACTGGTCTGTCTAGGTGTTTCACAGGTTTGAGTAATGTTTTTATTGTGTGGGCGCTCTGTAGATGATACCAACAGAATCTGAATGGTAATTTAAGTGTGTGTTTTACAGGCACGTGGAGGAGTTCAGCCCAAGAGCAGTCTACACAAGCGGCAAGGCCAGCAGTGCCGCAGGTCTGACTGCAGCCGTGGTCAGAGACGAGGAGTCCCACGAGTTTGTCATTGAGGCCGGAGCGCTGATGCTCGCTGACAACGTGAGTGTTATGATCTGAGTCATAAAAGGCGGTGGCTGGATGTTATTAGGAGTATTTTGTGGTATTGATGGCGGTGCTGTCATCCAGGGCGTGTGCTGCATTGATGAGTTTGACAAGATGGACATCAAGGACCAGGTGGCCATCCATGAAGCCATGGAGCAGCAGACAATCAGCATCACCAAGGCTGGAGTCAAGGTAATGCAGCTCAAACTCAACTTTTGATTTGAGCGTCTGAAATTCAAGACTCTCACGATGTGCAATTTCAGAAATTAGGTTTATTGACCTCCATTGTGGTAAAAAGAAACTTGACACAAGATATTTCTACAGCATGACAAAACCAAATCCAAAACAACTAAAACAGTTTGAGGTTCCTTTTTTGTTTTTTAAGTCACTACCAAATTTAAAAAGAAGCCTTTCAGTATCTGCAGTAAAATAACCAGCCTCCGTCTCCTCCAGGCCACCCTGAACGCTCGCACGTCCATCCTGGCTGCCGCCAACCCTGTCGGTGGGCGCTACGACCGCAGCAAGAGTCTGAAGCAGAATGTCAACCTGACCGCCCCCATCATGAGCCGCTTTGACCTCTTCTTCATCCTGGTGGACGACTGCAATGAGGTACGCCATTAGGTGTGAATGTGAGCGAGATGTCAATCTTGTGATGACCTGTACAGGATGTACCCTGCCTCTTGTCCAGTGTCAGCTCGGATCGGCTCCAGACCCCCACCCCCTGCGTCCTTTCCCTGCAGGGGTTATTCCAGTTTTGTCTGACCTAATCTAATGCTGCATGTTTGTGTGTATCCCAGGTGACTGACTACGCCATCGCCAGACGCATCGTGGACCTGCACTCCCGCATAGAGGAGTCTGTGGACAGACTGTACTCTCTGGATGAAATCCGCAGATACCTGCTCTTTGCAAGGCAGTTCAAACCTAAGGTGTGTGTCTGCCTGTACCGATCGTGTGTTGGCATCAGTTTTGACCAATTGCGAGCTTGTGGTTTTCTATTTAAACATTGCATATGTCCCGTGTGCAGATCTCCAGCGAATCGGAAGAGTTCATCGTGGAGCAGTACAAACGTCTGCGTCAGCGTGACGGCTCCGGAGGCGTGTCGAAGTCTGCCTGGAGAATAACCGTGCGACAGCTGGAGAGCATGATTCGCCTTTCAGAGGCCATGGCGCGCATGCACTGCTGCGATGAGGTGGGTTCAAAAAAATAACTTCCTTCTCCCCAGACATAAAAGTTTGACACTCCGGATACAAGGCAAAATGTCACCTGCCTAAAGCTTAAACCGCAGAATAGAGGCAAACCAATCTGAGAAATAGCTGTAATAAATCACCATATACTTTATCAGACCTTAATATTAAATGCTCCCAATATGACTGACAAGACAAAGTAACATTTTGAAGTAATGTAACTGCACCCAAGCATTTTACATGATACAAAATGTTGACATTTTGTCTCTGTCTTCAGGTGCAGCCCAAACATGTGAAGGAAGCCTTCCGTCTTCTGAACAAATCCATCATCAGAGTGGAGACGCCTGACATCAACCTGGAGCCAGAGGACGAAATGGAGGAGGAGGAGGAGCAGGAGGACGACGGTAATGACACACACTCTGTTAGAGACATGCGTTATTTTGTATTTGTACAGGGAGTGAAATACAGTGTTTAACCACTAGCATCATAAGGTTTTATCTAATGCAAACTTGTCTTTGCAGGAAACGCCATCCCTAATGGAGTAGATGGTGTAAACGGCCATGTGGATGGTGTTAACGGGCACGCCAATGGAATTGATGGCCATGTCAACGGCGTGAACGGCCACGCTGAGTCTGGCGGCCAGCCCAAACCGTCTCTCCGCCTTTCCTTCCCTGAGTACAGACGCATCTCCAACCTACTGGTCCTGCATCTGCGCCGGGCAGAGGAGGGTAAGAGATACTACTGAAAGGCATTTCCATGCTTGTTTTGTCTATTGTTATATTATTCAGTCTAACTGGTGTCTTTGTTGCAGCCGAGGAAGAGGAGGAGCTGAAGAAAAGTGCAGTGGTGAACTGGTATCTGAAGGAGATTGAGTCAGAGATAGACTCTGAGGTGGAGTTGGTCAATAAGAAAGGGCTTATAGAGAAGGTCATCCACAGGCTGGTGCACTATGTGAGTCTACAAACACACAACCACTTGATTTCAAACCAGCAGACGAGTCATTTTAAGTAAAGTTTGAACATAACTGACAACTTGTTTCTGTTTCCCCAGGATCACATCCTTATCGAGCTGTCCCAGGCAGGGCTGAAGGGCTCAGAGTCTGCGAGTACAGATGAAGTTGTCCTGGTCGTCAACCCCAACTACACCCTGGAAGATTAAACTCCTCCGCCCATTCCTCTGTTTTGTTTTTCTCCCCTCTTCTTACAGTTTCCATGATTGTTGATATTAAACTTCAGCAATAAAGTTGATTTTCAAGGGTTTTGAAATGCTCATATGTAACGTATACATAGTAGTAGCATTGGAGATGTTGTTAAACCTCAGCTCTACTGTACAGATGATTCTGGGAGGCGTTTCTTAGTCAAACTGACTTTTTGTAAATATGCTGCTCTTCCTTCCAGTTGTTTACTGGCTTCTGTCTGTTTGGCTCTCAGTCAAGGGAACTGCCCTGAATTGTGTATTGCTGTTTATCCACAACTGTATATTAGAGGCATTTGTTGAGGCTTTTTTTGCCTCCATGGTTTCAAGTTATAATGTATGTGTTTTTGTAAAATTATGACATGAAGTGTATGGAAATGTTGGTTTAATAAATAAAATGTTGATAAACACGCTGTGCCGGGCTTTGTGTCACAGAAGCGCTGCATCGATGTTGTCCACTAGGTGGCAGCAGTCAAATGATGCCACTGCGCATGCCCGACTGCGGTTATTGAACAAACATGGCGGCACCCTGCGTGACAGCATTGAGGACAGCACTGAAAGGTAACATAAAAACTTAAGATTACACGTCCTGCTAAAAGGTTACACTGTACAAACGCTGTGGCAGAGCCTTGTGTCCCAAGTTTGTTCAACACAGGAGACTTCCCCTTGTTGGTTTTCTACACGATATAAGTTAGACTCAATCGCCGCAGAAGTCATAAAATAAAGACCTTTTTCCCACTCAGGTGTGCTCCTCATGCAGATGAGCCAAACCCCGACAGTGTGTCAGTGTTTACGGCTTCATGCTGCTCGGTGTCGGCCTCTACATGTCTCCCCTGCAGCCGCCCTGTGCAGCTCCAGAGTAGAGCCGCAGAGAAGCAGCCAGACACACAGCAAAGATGACAGAAGAGCAGGACAGGAAGAGGACGAATCCGAGGGTCCTGAATACATCCCCAAGAGAAAGGCGAAGAACCCCATGATGTCAATTGGCTATGCCTGGTGAGTGTCTTCTCCTCATTCTTGTACAGGTAGATGCATCTCAGAAAATTTGAATATCGTGGGAAAGTTTTTATTTTTTTTTATTTAAGGCAAAAAGTGAAGCTAGATTCATTACGCTACATATAAGTGAAATATTTCAGGCCCTTTTTTTGTTTTAATCTTGATAATTACAGGTTACCGCTCATGGAAATTCAAAATATTAGAATAAAGAATGAAAAATACAGAAATGTTTCGGAAAACAGGTCAGTCTGTGCACTTAACGCTTTGTTGGGGCTCCTTTTCCACACATTTCTGCTTCAATCTGGCGTAGTATGGAGGCAATGCGGTGTGGCATGCACACAATCGGCTTGTAGCAATGTCGAGGTGTTTGAGGTGTTGTTGGGTGTGGTGTCTTTCATTTTTCTCTTGACAGTACCACATAGATTCTCTATGGGTTTCAGTTCAGGTGAGTTGGCTGGACAACCAAGCACAGTACCATGGGCAGCGAACCAGTTCGTAGTCGTTTTAGTCCTGCTAGAGAAGGAAATCAGCATCTCCATAAAGCCTGTCAGCAGGTAGAATCTCCTGGTAGACGCTGCATTGACTCTGGGCTTGATTTAAAAAAAACAGTGGACCAACACCAGCAGAAGACGTGGCACCCCAAATCCTCACTGACTGGAAACTCCACACTGGACTTCAAGCAACTTGGATTCTGTGCCTTTTCCGCTCTCCTGCAGACTGTGGGACCTTGATTTCCAAATGAAAAGCACAATTTACTTTCATTTGAAAAGAGGATTTTAGACTACTGAGCAATGGTCCAGTTCTTTTTTGCCATCACCCAGGTAAAGCGCTTCTCTGGTTCAGGAGTGGCTTCACACAAACACACACACACACACGTCTGTGCTGGGTGGCTTGTGATGCTCTGACTCCAGTTCGCTCCTTGTGAAGCTCCCCCAGGTTCTTGAATCGGCCTGGTCCTAAAGCTATTGCAAAGCTCTCCTAGTGGGTTTTCCAGCTTGTGCAGTGAACCCCCTGCAAATGGTACAGAACGCAACAGCGCGTCTGGTTCTTCATCAGCCCAAAAGGACTCATGTCACTCCATTACTCAGTGTCCTCCATTGACTCCCGAATCAAATTCAAGTCACTAATGCTGGCATAAAGTGTGACTACTGGGTCTGCACCCATCTACCTAAACTCCATAATACAAACTTACGTTCCTTCTCGGCCGCTACGCACCTCCAATGAACGCCGCCTGGCTCTGCCATCCCTTCACAAATCAATCCCAGTCCCGGCTATTCTCATCTGTGACACCATGATGGTGGAACGAGCTACCACACACCATCAGAGCAGGGGCGTCCCTCTCTAACTTCAAGAAGCTCTTGAAAACTCATCTCTTCCGAGAACACTTTCTCTTATAACACCTCTAACCTCTAACAGGCACTTCCTGTACTCTTCTTCTTCTATCCTTTTACAATTCTGTATTGATTTCACTCTTAACTCTTACTTCTTTCCCTAGGTATTTACCGCATTGATGCCATACGTGCTTTAAGCTCTTACTAGTATTTATTGCTGCTCTTACTAGTATGTATTGTCATTTGCTGTATTATTGTTCTATTGATGCTTGTATGTTGTTCCTCAAATGTGAGTCGCGATGGATAAAAGCGTCTGCCAAATGAATAAATGTAAATCATAGTGGGTTTCTGCTGGTTGATGTCCTGGCCAGTCTGTGTGTTGGATCTACTAAATTATTAATTTCATTACATTTTGATTATTTATGGAGTGCTGTTGTCTGCAGTGACAGCTTTTATGCAGAAATGTGATGACAAATATGTAACAGCATGGCAGAAAAACAATGCAGGTGTTTATATTCTTGGACCAGAAGTCATATAGACATAGCTAAAAAGGCACTGTGTGGAAGTTCCCTTCCCTGCTGCTGCTATGCTGTATATTTAGCAATTGAGTAGGTGTTCATATTGTACATACTATATATATCGCATCCACCAACCTCATGTAGATAATAATATTGCATAATTATGGCATAAAATATTTATTCCAGTATCCTTAGCACTATTTCACTACACTATTGTCTTGCTATCTACAGATGTTGTATGTGTTTATGGTGTGTTTATGGGTGACTGTGGTTCAGGAGCTAGATCGGAAGGTCAGCGGTTCAATCCCCGGCTCCTCCAGGCTGCATGTCGAAGTGTCCTTGGGAAAGATACTGAACCCCTAAGTAGCTCCACCAGTGTATGAAAGTATGTGAATGCAGATGTAGTGTAAAAGCGCTTTGAGTGGTTCAAAAGACTAGACTGTTTGTGCATGTTTTTGTTTATATACAGCGAGAGTAATGTAAATGTACAAATGTAAACACATTCCTCATGTGTACACTAAACACACCTAACAATTAAAGGTGATTCTTAGTCAAGGTGGATGACTTAATCACAGGAGGAAACATGAACAAAGTAGATTGAAATCTGTTAGAAATGGCTTTCCAACCACGAGTCAAACACTTTGTATTCCCACCCAGTTTGCTCCCACCTTGACAGTTTTTCTACACTCACCATCAATTACGGATATTGTACTGTATATGTTGCCCACAGATTAACGTAACTGTTAATCATCTCTCGCCTCCAGGATGATTGGCCTGCCCACAGGAATCATCGGCTTCCTCCTGGCCAAGAGAGAAGTGGACAAGAACCGACTGAAGCAGCTGAAGGTTCGACAGAGGATGAAGAAGTCAAACGAGGGCAAATATGAAGCGAGTCGGTACCGCAGTCCTGCAGAGGATTAAACTGGACCAATAATGTTCATGTGTGGCTGCTGCGATTAGCTCCATGTTCTGAACGTCACTACCAAAGACTGATTACAGAAGAGACATCAACCTCATGAGCTTGAGAACAGACATTCAAAAGTGGGTAACTATTTTTTTCTATAGGCAGATGCTGGAAATGTGAGAATGTCGTTGAGCATCTAATCAGGCCTTTGTTTTTTTTTGTGTTGCAGATTTGTTTTTTCTTGCTCACAAATATGGGTAATACTGTTCTGAAGATTGATCATTAGCCATGATGCTGATGTTCTGTAAATATGATCGAGGAAATAAATGTATATTTAATATGTAAACAAGAATCATCACTGGTACATCTGCATGTGAACCACATCAAAACTCACAAATACAAATGTTTATTTGATATGAAAAGGCAGGCAGGTTTTCCTCATTGATATGTATATTTACAGGTGCACTGCACTTTCAAAATGTTTGCCTTAGTTGTTTAAAGTCAAGGGTTACATGGAACTTGGGTCTAAACTTAGAATGAATATGAACATGTGTGGAGGACCAGCTGGGTGGGGTTGATCATCTCCTGAGCTTTAGGACTGTACACCTTTAGCAGGAAAAATCCACCCTGCTGTCACTTGAGCATATATCTGACTGTAACACAAGAATACATCAACTATACTATAAAAGCTTCTTAAAGTCAAAAAATTTAATCTCAGAAACAGTCATTGTGAAGGCACTATAGTGATGTACAATGTATATAGTTACAATATAACAAGGTATGTATGGAAGAGCATCAGCAAAGGCTTGCTAATATGAAGCCATGAGAGCAGATCTGAGGTCACGAGGTGTACTGAGCTAGACTTCAGGGGTGGGCAGCTCAATCACCAAAGTATCAATACTTAATGTAGTTTTGAGTATCCATACTAATGTCATTACAATCAATACCAAATGTTACATCGTGTTTCAGGCACAAACACTGCAGCGATCACCTCGATAGTTCGGAGAGTTCACACAAACCTAAGTTATTTACCATTAAACCCTGTTTTACCTTCTGATTTGCTTAAAATTAAAGCAAGAGTTCACTATTTAGAGAAAAACATGGGATAACTTTCTTGCTGAGAGTTAGATGACATGATTGATACCACTCATGTCTGTACTGTAATTATGAAGCGGCTTAGCATAAAGACTGGAAACAGGGAAGCAGTTGGCTTTGCGCTGTGAAAAGATAACAAACGTCCGACATAACATCCATAAAAGCACAACCTTATGTTTGTACACTTTTTAAAAAATGGATCAAGCAAACAAGATGTATAATCAGTGAGCTTTAGAGGCACTGATAAGCAGATTTTGTTCCCTTTGGAAAAAGCCAGGCTAGCGGGCTTCCCGTTACCAGTCTTAGCTAAGGGCAGCTGACTGTACAAAAGAGTGGTAGCAATACTTTCATCCAACATTTGGTAACAAAGCAATTAAGCGTAGCCTATTTCTCAAGATGTGGAACTTTTTTTAAGCAATTACCAGCAAATATTAAATTAATGCCTAATGTCTGAAAAATGATTGAGGTAATTAAAGTCTGTTTAGAAGGAGCCTATTAAAGATTCATTCACTTGATATATCATGAAACATCCATTACATGGAAACCATATTCTGTGGAACTGCCCATCCCTACTGTACTTCAACGCCTACCAGAGAGGTGGGCTTCTGTGATGGCAAATTAAGAGTTTGAACATTAGAACAAAAATGTTTGCTAATTTTCTGCACATTTGTGCAGATAAGACCCGGTTCATTTATAGCAGTACATCGCTCAGACACTATATGCCGTAACTTAAGTCGAGCTAGGGTGACTAAATGTTGCAGCTGGCATTCCAGTGTCTATAGATATTTGGAGCATTTATATTGTAGAATTAATATTCTTTTTATAACCACTTGTAAGTTACTTAGTGCAGATGTAGACAAATATTGATATCAGAAAAAAAGTGCATTTTGTGTGCATAGGATTAACCTATACTATGAGGAAATCTCAGATTCAGCCCTTCCCTGGAATGCATCCTGATTTTATAAATGTATTGGTTCTAAATGAAAACAAAGCAAATGTTTTATAAAAACACGCAGCGGTTCTGCTGTGGGGCACCTGTCTGCACCCTGTTGACCCAAGCTGGTCGTGTGACTTCTTATTTGGTCGAGGCGCCGATAATTTGCAGCAGGAAAAGGAAGATCTGGATGATGTCGACGTAGATGGAGAGTGCAGCGAACACATACTCCTCCGGACTGATGGAGTGCTTCCTGTTCCCTATTAGCAGCTGTGTGTGGTATGCTAGGAACTATAAGACATACAAAACACATTTAGAAGACAGTAATGCATAAAGTAATACCACAGGTGCAGCTGTAAAGTATAAAAAGTGACATTTGTTTAAGTAAAATACTCACCAGAGTGAAGACTATGGCTCCCAAAGCTGCATAGAGCATGTGAAGCCACGGAATCTGCAACAACAAACAGCCATTAGAATGATTAAAAACTTGGAAAAGATGTGTCGGCAGGTGTTTTGTTCACATCAGACTTAACTCACATATTTGAAGGACAACACAATGACTGTAATGATGCCAGTTACAAACATTACGATCCCCAGGACACAGAAGAGGCCCTGGCACTTTGTGAAGTCCACCTACAAAGAGATACCACAAAACAGCCATGTAAACGTGTGACCGCACAAACACACTATGGCCATTTGAATCTGATACGCACCCCCCCTCCCCGCCCCCCCCTCACCTTTGTCTGGAAGCAGAACACAGTGACGGCGATGCAGACGACGGCAGTGATAGCCACAGCGAGAAACACTGCTTTTGTGTCATAGTAGCTAAAAACAAAAGTAAACACACAATTAATTCTGAGGGAAACGGACTGGATTTTTATATTCAACTACATAGATTGAACACACTTTATGTTTTTACCTGGAAATGGATCCAGTCATGTAAGACAAAGCCAGCGTCTGTAAAGAAAAAATACATCTTGTAACTTGACCTAAACAGTTCTGATTACTGTATAAACTGTAAAAAGGACATGACAAAAGGTATGGGCCCCATAATTAAATACTATTACATGCTATATTACAGCAATGTATTAACATATATTCTAGTGCTAATAACATAATAATGTGATGAAAACTAAAACTAACTACTATCATGTGGATTCAAATTGTTAAAACAGGCGGAAAATAATTTCCCTGGAGCTAGCTTTCAGGGCGAATTTAACATCTAGAAATGACCTCCACAAGGCTGAATAATAACACTCTGCCTCCACTGATGGACAAAACTGGTCACCATTCTGCACACAGAGCTGATAAAACACAGCCATGGAAACAACATATGCATTATGCAAATACAGCCTGAATCAAGTGTGGTGACTCACTGTTTAGTCCTAGTATCAAATTCAAACCTAGAGAAAGCTTCAGCAAGAATAATCTTGATACAAGTCCAGGAAATTCAGTCAGTAATGTGTCTCAATTTCCTGATTCACAAGTCATTAGACTTACAAAGATGGACAGCAGAATCACGTTCCATGGAAACTTCCTCCTACAAAGACATGACGTGGTTTTATAAATTTTCTTTGTACAAATATTCTTTGTAACCTTGTTAAGCTGAGCGATCACACTCACCGAGGGCCCTTACAGCAGACCAGCACAAGGTGGGTGATGAAATACACAGCACTAAAACAACAAAACGCAGAGATCAGTATCTTAATAATCACACTGTCACAATGTCACACTGTCATTTTGATTCCTATAAAAGCACATGACTTTAAAAAGGTAGTGATGTTCTCCACAGAGTGAGACTTACTATGATGCCCAGTAGATAGCCTGGTTTCGTTGCACGAAATACCTGACAGGTTGGCTGTGAGAAGCAGAGGCACGGTTACAGCATGATGCACACAGATAGAAATACTAACAGGTACACAAAACACACACTCCGTATACTCACACAAATGTGAACACAGCCACAATGGCTGTGGTGACAAGCAGCTGAGACGCCAAAATCAAATACACCTGAAAAACACATGCAGACAAGATGTACAAGGTGACTCAGATGTAATGATATCATACAACGCACACAAACTGGGGCTAATCCACTATGGTGTGTGTGACAAGTGTGTTTCACCTTTCTGATGAAGGCATGCCGAATGCTCAGACTGTCCCAATTGCTGTCGCTCGCCGCAAAGCCATCACCTGTGTTTTAGAAGAACAGAAATATGACCACAAAGAGCTGATGAAGAAATCTGATGGGTCGACATTTTAGAAAATACATTTTCTAACTTTCTTGCCAAGAGAAGTTAAATGAGAAGATTGATGGCGCTATCATGTCTGTCTGTTAACCAGAAAGCTTTGTATTTTACTGTGAAAGGCATCTATCTTCTCATCTAACTCTAGGCAAGAAAGTTAATAAACATATGTAACTTTTTTTACCTTTAAATCATAGCAGCAGCATTTGGCCAGGCTCAATTGGTCCAACAAGCCAGTGCCATTTTTTAAAATGTCCAGACATGGTATCATTATCCCTCCCACCTTTAATCGTTAGTGGCACAGTACTGTCTTCACATATTTTACTTTGTTTTAAAAAGGCAACCCCCATTAGAATAGCCACGTTATGCTAGGCAGTCATCGTCTTACCTGAGTTCAGGACATCTGCTGGTATGGTAGGTGGGATGACAGGGGGCATGGGAGGGGGACTCGGGTAGCCAGCTCCTGGAGGCCCAGCGGGGTGAGGCTGTCCTGGGTAAGGACCTGGCGGATAGCCCCCTGGCTGGCCTGGGTAAGGACCAGGCGGATAGCCCCCTGGCTGGCCTGGGTACAGAGGGGCATTTGGCCCAGCGGGGTAGGGAGCAGAGGGCTGGCCTGGCTGTAGACCACCAAAGGCAGGAAAGCCATACGAAGGGGGTGGTGGGTAATTCCCACCCTGAGGTACATACAGCGGGCCCCGGGAGTCGTCGTACCCTGGAGGGTAGTCTGACCTGGACATTTCACCTGTGAGGAGGGAAGTTGGAGACAATACCGTTCACATATGTATCATATTTATTTTTATGTACAAAAGCTGACAACAGAGAGAGTGAAGAGTAGGGAACAAACAAGGAAAAATCCATGACCAATATTATCCACCGATTTTATCTTTTCACTGATATATAGGTCTCTACTCAATAGAATCGATGAAATGATTGTGAAAGGTGTAGCCGTGACGAACCCATGGAGAATAATCCCCAACTTTACAGTTTCCCTCACTTTCTCTGAGCATAATAACGCCTTTCAGCTCTTTGTTTTACAACTTCACTGTTTTGGTTCAGTCTGACCGCTCTAACCACTGTTTTTAGCCACAGCAGGTAGCAGTGAAAAACTCTTGACGTATGCTACCTGTCCAGCACCATGAAGCAGACAGTCAGAGTTACCGACTAGCTGGTGAGCAGAGTTGTGCACCTATACTGGATTTGCCGGGTAGCCAGAAACACGAATCCAGACAAATTTCTTGTTCTGTACATGTTGCTCAAAACTGTAATTACAAATTTGATAGGATCCTTATCTATGCTTTTGGTTCGTATGTGTGCTTATGTGGAAAAAATGATAAGCTGATGTATCTATCAGAGTTTTTTTGAAACTCTCATATATCAATATTGGTATTGGCCACAAAAATCCAGTATCAGTTTGGGCTTTGATCTAATCGATGGGAGATTCCTTCCTAAGCGATGGGAGATATGAATACAATACAAGGCAGTTTTGTTCATTGATTTCCAACATCACAGTGAGTAATAGAACCAAAGATATTAAAAGGATACAGTGGCTATTTCTGTATATATTGTCATTTTGACCAAACCTATCTAGCCATCGCAAACATGTATATACACATAAACAATGAGCAATTCTGTCTTCAGTGACTAAGAAAAAGCACATACGGGCTTTAGGCCTGTGTTTTGAGCTGCTGTTAGTGTGTGTGAATCTGTGTGGGCGCATCACACTTAGATTTCGCTGGGTAATAATCATACTTGATTTACAGAATACCTTTGGGGTTTCAGGTTAAAGTGAACGTATGGTTCTGCTTAGCAATGTGGTTTCCCAAAACCACCACAGGCTCAGGAATAACCACATGTATCTCTGAGGGAAATTTGTAATAATAAACCACATGTTGTCACGTACGGCCTATTCCAACTTCTTGCGATGAGTAGCCAATTTAAAGAGTTGTGGTACTTTTGCAGGATACTTTAAGTGCATTACCAACTAAACTAAAACAACTTTTATAACACGAGGCCTTAAGATTTCAAACACAATTCTCCTATGAAATGGATTTACACTCCAGATGTTGTTGTCTATTTACTCCTTTACGATATTACACTTGAAACTAGTCCACCATATTAAAGAAAACTGACATGTGTTTCTAAGTAGGTTATTTGGAAAATGCCAACTGTCCTCTGAGCTCCATTTTCACTGGGGCTTCCAGGGGAATATGCACAGTAAAGGAATTCAAGTGCTGGCTCCACCTCATGCTGCCATTACATCACATCCCAAGCAACAAAACACTAAATGGAAAAAAAGGAGTGTTTGAATAGGAGGGTGTAACTCTACTCTAGGAAAGTTAACTAATTGGCAGAAAGGTTGGCACACGAGTTGCCGTGATGGTGGCTGATGTTAAAGTTCCACGTCTGATTATTATATTTTGTCACCACCAAGTCTACATGTGTTTCTGAGTCAGCGTTGTAAAGTATGCACCCTCTGACAACACTGCAATGAGTCTGTTTACCTCATTGACAGAACGGCCCTGTGCCTGAGAAATGCAACTTGTTTTGTGAAGCCTGTCGTGTGGGTAAAAAAAGAATACAATAAGAACCGGTTTGACAAAGCTTATAATGAAAGACACTGTCAAAGGTTTTGATTTGACTTGGTAATTTCTGAGGCTGTTGTTGATATATATATATATCACTAATACAATCTTCCTCTTTTTGGCTTTTGTCATCATGACATTTTTTTACAGTTCTTCTTTCCAAATCATGTAATTCAGCGCTGTTTACTGCTGTCTGTTAGTGTTGGAAGCAGGCAATTCTGCCAGCTCATGTTGCAATGCCAGGCTAACAGGCTACTTTAAACTGATCTTCAAATTAAAACAAATGTCAAAACATCCTGGTTTTTGTGAAGTGTTTCTGATATTCTGACCATACACAGCAAAAAAGGGTCTGCAAGTTGTCATTAGCAACTGTGAGTAAATGGAGATGGTGGAAGAAAAGTGAGAAAGTATATTATTTCTTTCCGTTTTGGACTGTTAGTTGGATAAAACTAGACATTTGAATAAGTCACCTTGGAATCTGGGAAACTGGGCTGGATATATTCCTATAAGTCAAAAACACAACTTTCAAAACAGTAATGGCTCTGAATCAGGCTTTTATTACTGTAATTTTAATAAGTCAAGAGGAGGGTTTAAAGAAAACATTAATAACCCTGGGGAAGGCCTTGTGGTTGTTGTATTTTTAATGTTCAGCCTTCATCACCACCCCAACAACTGTTATACAGTTTCTTACTGAGTTCAGCTATTTCAGCAGTGTTTGTCTCTAGTGTGTGACTTAACACCTGGATGAATGAACTAAAAAGAGGGAAACAGGTGTAATTAATTAGTTAACAGAAATCAGCTTCAGTAATGGCTACGTCCCCTTGAGTTTGAGGTCTAGGGCCCTGGTACTATGCATGCTGGTCTCACTGCACTAAAGCACAGTGAAACTTAAATCTTCAAAGTTTACTTGACTTGAAAACTGAGATGGCTGAGCTGTTTTAAAACACGAGGCTAACTTGTCCAGAGCACACAGACTGCACCCTCCTCCGCCCTGTTTCCCCGAGCAGCAAACCTCAGCTCACAAAAAGCCTTTTCAGGTGAGTGCTGTTAGTCTGCAGGACAAACACGCTACACAGCCGCCAGGATATAAAAGGTAACATGACGGGACCACATCGTTAGATTACAGATTAAAGTTAGTACAAAACGTATTTCTAATACACTTCAGAGACACTGGGCTGCTTTAAAACATGGCAACGTGTTAAAATAAGTTACTTACCAAGTAAGCGCTAACGTAAAAACACAAAAAACGCGACCAGGTCGTTTAAATTCCCAGCGATAAAACGAGAAAACTGCAGGGCTCTCCGCTGCCAGCCACGCCCTCACTGCTTATCAAAACACTGTGCCGTAGATGTTTGGTGAACGCGGTTTGGTAGGACTTTTTCGGCTGCCTGCAGTGTGTTTTCAGGTCTGTCGTGTTGAGCTGCAGTGGACAGATGTAAACGACATTTCCTGGAACAGTGAGGAGCAGCAGGGTGGAGTCCGGAGGAATCTCTCTCACACACACACGTCCTGCGGGTGTTCAACCGCGGCAACAAGCTGACTCATGTTCAGCAAGCACTTCTCATGTTACTGAATAAAGGTGCATTACAACTACATAATAAGTAGCCTACTTTAACTCAAGAACTGTACTTTAGTACAATTAATAATTGTCGTTTTGGGGATGCATGTTTCCCCTCCATTTTAGAGTTTAAATGTATTCTCTTGCATTAATATGATGGCAGCGACTAATTAATGAATGAACGAAGTTTTATCATTGTATCATGCAAACAGTATATAGACATGGAATATATAGGCTACATGTGTATACACAAACTTTATATATATATATACAGTTAATATATAAGTCAATTAAATCTAATTCAACTCTTATCTTGTAGTATTTTTAAAGATTTTACATTCAAAACTAGATAAGCACAAGACTATGATAGTAAACTGGACAAGCTTCAACATTAAATGTGTGAATTTTACATATGACTTTATTTTAGCTTTTATTTAAATTAATTGTGAATACATTTATGATACTGCAAAGAATAAAAGGGTGTGACTAAGAGTCATTTTACCTGAACAGAGTATTTAGTGTGAATTCTGATTCAAACTCATTTCCACATACAAACACCATAGCAACATAAGTCGGCCAGTACTGTGGATCCGACTGATTTACTGAGACTGAAGTGGGATAACAGTATGTTGGCTTCACTCTGACGCTGGAAGCAGCCATCTTGGATTTGGAAATTGGATTGGGACGCACCAGAGGTCGGGGTTGGTGACTCCCGACTGTCCAAGTCGCAAATCCAACTAAGGGGGTATTCCAGTTGAAATTTCTCCCGGAAATTCTGACTTCCAGTATAAATGGAATGCAGCATTATTACCACCACTACTACAGCAACAGTATTTACTACTTCAACTACAGTTTTTAAAGCTAATAATTACTGCTCAATTTCATTATAACCTGTTCTATTGTTACAATAAATGTACCTACCTAATAATACAGTCTTTAATAATACTACTACATTTCAGCATTCACACATATTTCTGCAGGAAATGCAGTTTTTCTAGTTTTACATTTTCTTATTGCTGCTTTTACAGAAGATTTTAATACTTTTGACACCATTCAACCACCAATACAAACAGACCATTTGTGTTCAGTGTCCCTTAAATGAAACAATGCTCAAATAATGTTAAGAACTATCATGTGCACTATTAAATAGATTTCATTGTGTTATAGCAGTTAAAAGGTGGAGGGAGGGTTTGTGAATAAAGTGAGACATTCATAACTCACTGAAGTGCAACTGCATTGCTGTGGTCTGTAATTTCTGTGACAAAAACAAACTTTCCAAATTATGCTTATTTTTCCTAAATAACGTTGGAAGAATTACAAACATTTCAAAAAGGATATTCCTCTTAATGGCTCCTGTAACACTTTATTCACAGTGATGCTTTTTTGTTAAGATAAAGAGACATCAGCTTCTCGATAAATACAAAGACACTGACTTTTAAATTCATCCAATTTTTACCATATAGAGATTAAAAACACACACACACACACACACACACACACACACACACACTCTTACAGCATTGCACTTGGTCCCTGCAGTCAGCTGACACATTTGAAGACAAGCTTCTTGGTGAGGGTGTATTTGGGCTCCGGCATTTGTTTGTAGTATAAATATTGTCCCTTGCTGACCTCCCTGTTCACACGTGTCAGGACAGCGAGTATATCATCATTCTCCGAGCTGCACAGAAAACATATTACAAATTATAAATCTTGCTTAACATTGTGGGTATATTCAAACAAATACATCATGCCTTCTGACATATCGCATCAACAGCACAGCAGATGCATTTGAAAACACCAAAGCACACCTCTAGAAGCAGCAACAGAATTCATTTTAATTGTTTTTCTTTTCTCGGAGTAGGCAACATTCTGTTAATTTTTTCTGGAAAAAGATGATTTTCACTATCACAAAGTGCTTTTTATAATGGTGCTGTAAGAGGTTATGGGTACATTGTGTCAGTCAGGTCTACCATAAACAATCACTTAATCTTAGGTCCTACATTGTGTGGCAGTCCATTCATCAGCTTGAAAACATTTTGTCAGATTTAAGTACAACTCCACGTTTAACCCTTTGTTCTCAGCGCACGACTGCAAAACAGAAGAACAAGCAGCCACCTGTATGCAGCTCTATTCTTATAATTGTACATTTATGGCAGTACAGTATGTAATACAAATATGATTATAAAAATCTACACTCTCAGTAACTGCTCATCCCTTTCGACAGAGGTTGTGTCCGGACTGACTGAGCTGGCCAAAGCTTTGCCTAAACTGTAGCTAGGGGACAAAAAGAACAACAAGCATCACTTGAACTCTCACCTTTGTGCAGACCTCATCAGCTGATTGCACAGCTCCTGGATGTAGATGGAGCCTGTGAAAGTGTTTCGAAACGACTTGCACTCTGGCACGGTGGCCATGCCCAGCAGGAAATCAGCATCTGAGGGCACAGTCTCGCTGTGCACAGGACCTGCGTCTTCCTCCACCTCTATGTCCCCTTCCTCCTGCCTCAGCATCGGGCGACACGGCACAGATCCTCTCTGGTAGCCGCTTCCCTGACACGCTTGGATGAAGAACAGTTTGGGCTTCCCCGCCAAGGTGCGAGCTCGTACACTTGTGAAGGGCTGTGTCAGTTCTCGAATGGACACCTGCTTCTCATCCGTCCCAAAGACACATCCCTTTTCTCCGTGGGAAAGCACGCATACCACCTAAGATCAGAAGCGGCATTTAAAAAATTGTGTTTCATCTGAATTTAACTTTATCATCGTTTAATAGTTAAACAATTTTGGAAATATCTATTTGCTTTCTTGCTGAGAGTTAGATGACAAAGACTTTACTCTCACGGCTCTATGGCAAACATGAAGCTACAGCAGGGTTCAGCAAGATCAATTTGGAACAATATGGCCTAGAAGTGTTTGTCTCCCAACAGCCCGCAACCAGATACAAAAACATTTTATTACTGAGTCACTGTTCTTTTTTAAAATTTTTAAATACCTTCTAAGACCATTTTGTGAGGAAACTTATTGCAATGCTTTTTAAGACTTCAGGACTGGCAGATATACCAGCAGCTGGTTAGCTTAGCTTAAAGACTGGAAACGGGGAAAGCCTGGCTTCCTCCGAGGGAAACATAAACCCCTATCCTACCTCTAAATCTCACTAATTAACCCTTTACATGTTGTTTGTTTAATCTGTACAAAAAAAGTGTAAAAATGGAGACCCCGTTAAGAGTTTTATGGGAGGTTTTGTCCTGGACTATTTCTTGGCTAGGCTTTTGGCTGTAGCTTCATATTTACTGTATAGACATGACACTGGCATTTATCTTCTCATTTAACTCTCTGCAACAAAGAAAGCAGGATATTTCCAAAACGTCAACTTGTTCTTTTAAAGAGAAAAAAAATTAAGTCTATTTTAATAATATAAAAGTAACACTGATGTTACAGCAAGCTGGAGTGACACTACTCACCAAGGCATCATCAGCAAAAAAATCCCTTCCGCTGAGGTCTTTTAGTACAAGTCGAATGTCTTCTGCAGTCAAGTTGTTGTGTACCACCACTTCAAAGCCAAGGTGGGTGAACACTTTATGCAGAGCCTCTGTGTCATACGAAAGAGACAAACTTGAAGCATACCTGATTTTTATGATGTGATAAGTATTAACTAAAATACAAGGATACGTACTCTCATCCTCCCGAGTCCCTTTTCTATCTCTCAGCTGTGTTCCCTGGAATTCCTCATTGTTGATGACCACACACAAACCATGAGGGTTATGGTTCATGGTGTAGTACTCTGTCTAAATGACAGAAGCACACCCACAAAGACAAAAGTTAATGTTCTGATGAATGAATGAAAGAAAGAGTGGCATGTGTTCTTGTGTGGATGGTTACCTGATCAGTTAGAAATGAGGACTGTGAATCAGGGTAAACACTCTCTCCTTCATCTGAAGAACAAAGACAGCTGAAAAGTAAATCCCTTGTATGTGTATGATTAAAAATAATTGCATTAGAGTGGATATTCCTAGGAGGGGGGTTATAAAACTGTAACCAAGCCTTATTCAATGGCTGTGTGCTGTATGGGAAGTCAGTGAGTGATACAGTGAAAAAAAGAGACTTACAGCTGGACCGAGTCTCAGTTATCGACAGAACAGGTTCAGTCGGCTGGGGGGGGTTGTTGACCCCCTGTGGGAAGAAAACAGAGTCCAAGTCCTCAGTAAACTGGCTCATTGTACGATTAACTGTACACAAACACACATTTACACACACACCTGGTAATCCATGCTGATGCGAGGAGGACGTGGCTGGGTTTCACCTGAAAAGAGCAAAATCATTTGATAAATTTCAGTTATACAACATTTAAATCTGCTTGTGCATGCAAGCGTGCCTCGTACCTTTCACGTAGCGCTCTACAGTCAATACCAGTTGTTGATCCAACTGCTGCAGTACTGTCTGCAGCTCATGAAGATTCGTATTCGACAGTAAGTCAATTTTTTCCATTTCAGCAAACACATCCAGTGCTGTCTGTATTGACAGAGGAGACATGTTTGTGTCTGCAGTTGCATCACAAATTTAGAAATCACTTCTGTTGCAGTAATACAGGTCTGGGAGGGTTAACAATACGCTGTGAAATGTATTATTGTATTATTGTCTCTTGGGTATTATTGTCTTTACACTTGTTAAAGCACTTTGTAACTTGTTTTTGAAAAGTGCTCTACAAATAAAGATTATTATTATTATAAATGGGCCTAAAGTTGGGTGAGCATATGGAAGCCTAGTATTTTTGACATTTTCCCCTGGGCCCTCCTCTTCAGTCCACAAACTGATGCCTCTCCTGTAGCAGCCCTCTCTCCCTTCCCCTCTCCTGAGTGTTGTGTGAGTGAATGGCTGAATCTCCACACTCGCATTCCCAGTAAGTCTGTGAGGGCTTAGCGATGTCACTGTTAAATTGTAAAGTGCATGAGGGCTCTCTGGCAGACTTTTTGAGCCCTTTATCCATAAGTCCAAAATGACCTCATCCACTTCGTAACAGTGTAGGTACCAGATGTGCTCAGGTGGTCACATCTGCTCAGGGGCCTGCGCATGCCAGTAACGTCACGTAACGTGACTTACTGTACGTTTGTATGATGACATGGCAGATTGTGATTGGCTGTATGTCTGAGTGTTTGCGTATATAATTTTTGCGGGTCCTCGAATCAACTATGGAGAACTCAGAGCAGTTAAATAATCTCCTTAAACTTATTCAACGGCTCTGGAAGAACTTATACAATGAAATATAGCACTACTTATTAAACAGGACTTACCACAGACTGAACATCAGCTGTAAAAGCCCTGAGAGCAGAAAGGCCACGATCGACTAATTAACGTTACGACACTAATGTTAGCTGCCGATCAAGTTAAGCTAAAGAGTGTCTGTGGGTTGTTGCCATATTGCCAAAGCAAATACCAAGCAGATCTGATACCTACATCTGTAAACAGGGCACAAATCTGACTGGCGCTGCCATAGTGTGACGTTACCGGCAGGCACAGGCCCCCCGAGCAGATCTGACCACCCTAGCACATCTGGTATCTACAATGTTGCACGAAAACGTCAATCCGAAAACGTTGCAAACCGGTGCAAAACATTTTGAGATTGAACTCGCCCTAAGTGATGTCAACATCTGTGAGAGTTCAGGATTTAGGCTTTAGGGTAGAGATTGGGATTGGGCCATTGTCTGTGGGTGTGCTGCAGCTGCATCACATAACTGTAATAAAGACTCTGACCAGCCATCAGCGCACTGCCATATTGTAGTCTCTGCTACAGTCAGTGTTCACTACACTCCAGCCTTGTTATTTTACTGCTACCTCTAGTTTTTGTGTGTTTCCTGTGATTAATTCTGGGCTGGATTCAGCTCCAACAGAACTGTGGTGCCTTGAACACCCTGTTGTGTATGCAAACACACTGCACATCACTGCCTTTTTTAAAAAATATGGCTGTATATACACACGTCGCTGCTGATTGGGTAACACCTCTGACACGCCCACCAAACAAGAGAAAACATACTTTAAAGCCTGCTGCACACAGTTTTGAGGAAACATGACATTCAACCCAGAAATTGCATCAAACTGGTGCAAAACGTTATGAGATTGAATGTGCCCCTGTTCTCATCGCGGACCTGCCAGCCTTGACTTCAGCCTCTGTTGCATCCACCCTGACCAGATCAGATCAACCTACAACTCTGCCTCACATCCTGCTTCCCTCCACACTCCAGCTCACTTAGTTTTTCCCCTGGATATCCCTCTGTATCAGCCTCCTCGGGCTCTGTCCTGCTCCATCCCTTGCTCTCGGCACAACAAATACCCTTTAGCAGCTCCACTCTTCTCCTGTCTGTGTCTGCATCTTGGTTCACTACTTCATTAGTCTATTATTCATATTAAATGAATGTATGCAAACAGTAGATATGTTGATTTTGTGGCAGAATGGCTGTAAGTTACTGCATTAATCAAACATGTACTCTAGTCATCCCTGCTGATTTAGTCAAACTACAACCCAGTTCCCATTTGAAAACACAAATAAAATCTCCAGCTAACTGCAAAAACTATTAACTATATATGTTTAGTGTCTAATGTAGTACATTAGATCTTATACTCAAAAGTAAAAAAGTCAAGTATACATCTTAGCTTACGTCTTTATTTCTACATTACTAAGGGTGGGTGTGTTCTCACATTGCATGTCTCAACTTGTCTTCTGCCCAGCTGGTTGCTCAAAAGGAACTTCATCTTTTCAAGATTTTCCCGAGTCATGTCCTCATAGATTTTGTACAGCATCACCCTGAAACAAAGAGTAGAGGAGTGGAAAGGAGAAAGAGGAGGGGGACAGAAAAAAAACAAACAAACAAACAAAAAAAAAACCACTGCAACTTTGGGAATAAAACAGACTGTATTGAATTCCTGCTGTACTGTTTTCTCTTCCAGTTACTGGGGCTGCAACTAACGACTATTTTGATTGTCAATTATTCTATCGATTATTGAAACGAATAATCGACTATTCGGATTATGAATCGCAAAATTACAAATTTACTCTTATTTAGTTATTAGCTTTCAAATTGTTTTAAGCATGTGCTAATTAACAATCAAGACAATAAAATAAATAGTGCTTTCAAAAATACATCTTTTAATGAACGTTTCTGCTGCAACAACAGAAAGTTCCACTGAAATAAAGTCCTTTCATGGACCAAACAGGTATATAGAGTTAGAAATAACGGTGTGTGGGCAGCACTGTGCAAACACTGATCTGAGCAGCTGATCTTACATGCCGGTACTGCAACACACTGGGACAAACTGACACTATATTTATACAAAGACAGGAATAATTGAATGTGCTACATTTGCTGAATTTACAAGAAGGGACCAATAATAATTATTTTGTAGTAGACAGCGTTTCACAAATTTTATATAGTTTCCCATAACTCAACACCTCATAAAACTCCGTGATTTTTTTTAATGAATTCTGGGACGGATTAGCCGCTACCTCACGCATAGACAGGAAAACTCTTTAGCAAGTAACTAAGACATTGTCCGGTGTTCTCTAATCTTGCGCCCTAGGCAGCGACACATTGTCCAGCTGTAAATGTCGCCATGAGCAATGCATCGTTTTTACGATTGTAAAGTTGGGCCACATCTGGAAAGTGAACTAGTTTACAGAGACCAGTATTCATCATCTAGAGAGCCGACATTACATCCTCTTTTTCAGGTATTCCAGCAGATCCGACGTGCTCCCAGGCCAGGAGAGGCAGCTTTGCAAATGCTGCTGTTCACAACCTTTTTGGCCGAGTGAAGAGTCAAATGCTCCCACACTTTAGGTTTTAGGTTGTGAAGGTTTTAATACCACTGCTAATGTTAGGTTGTTTTATTAAATTTACTGTTCACATCACTTCATTTAGCTGACTGTGTTGCAATGGCCAGATGACATCATGATTGAATTGATTATTCATTTCGTTGGCAACAAATTTAATAATTGATTTTTGACGACTACGTCGATTATTTTTTGCACCCCCACCTGTTACAGTCAATATTTTTCTGCTTTTACCTGTAATCTGACAGGACGGGATATGCGTCGGTTTCCTCTGGTTGTCTGCTGTCTGTCTCCAGGAGGCGGAGGAGATCTGCTCGATGGATAGTGGAGAGCAGCTGAGAAAGGAAGACTTCGTTCTCCAGCAGGCATTTTTCTTCTAGTCTCAAGAACAGTCCCTTTGCATCTCTGATCTGTAAGAACAACCATGAAACACAAGACGAAGACAAACCTTCAGGCAGTGCGACTACATTTTTCCACTCTATTTCTTTAGTTGTCTTGATTTATTTTTATCATGCGATACTTTTATTTTGTTGAATGTTATCAATTAGGATATCTATAGATCAATTAGTGACTTTCAGAAAAAACTCAACATTAACTGTCCAGAGTTACTGGTGGATGAGACATTTTTCCTCAGACATGGAGTTGGGACAAGTGCATAAGACAACAGTAAGAGGTATGTGCTGCTCACCCCCTCCAGGCGTTTCCTGTGGACAACATCACGACACAAGAAGCAGAGAGCTGCAACCTCAGAGGAGTCCAGCTCCTCGTCTATGCGGGACAGTGTCAGCCTATCCATCACAGACCCAAACCCACCAACACAGGCCTGGTTCTCAGCTCACTGTGCTCTACAGTCAGGCAGAAACAACAACAAGACATTCACTCAGGATCCAGTGGCATCTTCTTACTCTGTTTCACCCAGTGTTGGCAGTATAAGGGCAGTTAGCTCATATCCAAGGGCTCCTCTCATTTTTCCACTGTAGTAGGCTCATTATAATTCGTTTTGACCATTAAAGGATTTATAAACATTACAATAAAATAGAATATATATATATGCAGTCAAAGTGTGTCTCATTTGCCCAGTGTAGTACTACAATTAAGCATAGATTTGGAGTCCCTGGGTCACATAACATGGAAACTAATGAAAACGAAGCCGTTTTTGTACAATAAATTGTATTATTAATATAAAATAGACCATGCACAATCTAATATGAAGGGGTTTGTCTCGTTTGCCCAGCGCAGTACTACAATTCGGCGTTGGTGTGGAGTCCCTTTGTTTCACATGACACAGAAGCTAGAGAAAAATTATGATTTTCCATAACATTATTCTAACAATAATAACGCCCACCCTGAGCCATGGTTCTGCTCGAGGATTCTGCATTTTAAACGGAGGTTTTCCTTGACTGTTTCGCCAAGTGCTTGCTCGTGGTGGGAAGTGATGGACCTCTGTAACTAATAGCACAAAGAGTATGGTCTACACCTGCTCTATGTGAAAAAAAACTATGAGATAACTGTTGTTATGAATTGGCGCTATATAAATAAAATCTAACTGATCTGAATTGACTTAAAAATAGTAATTTATTGATGTCCCCTATAAACAAACCCCCGGTTGTTAACAACGAGCCCTTGGGTGTGAGTTAACCGTCCTAGCTGCTAACACTGGGTGAAACTGAGTAAGAAGACTGGATCCTGAGTAGCTTAGACTAATGTCTGTCGAATAACTATTCAACTTAAAACTAACTTCACCGCGGTGCCAGACACGGCTCTTGTTTGACTCTCAAAACATTTAAAACGTTTTGACTGAAGCCTGTGCGGCCAACAGCCAATTTAACTTTAACATTACGCTTCAGTCAACAGCCTAACTTTTACATAACTAACTTAGGCTACATACAAAATGTAAATTAATCGCTCGAGTTAAGTTAACGTACAGGCTGTAAATACAACTAGCATTTCTGTTAGACGAGTCAATTTACGTTAAAACGTAAGCTATCAATGTCAACTTACCACCGAAAAGCTGCGTCTTCTTTACTTCTGCTGTCAGGCAAACCTTCTTTTATAGCGAAAAGTCACTTCTAGAAGAAGTTTTTCCTTTGCGTCATGATGGTAGGCTACTCTTCCTGCTTGCTTGTTTCACTTTCAGATGTAATTAACTCCTTCAAAATAAAATAAATATTACTTCGGATTAGCCCACGTGAAGTGGTTTAGATGCGTCACTGGTTTTGGGCCGGCCCAGTGAACTGTGGGCCCCAGCCTGGCTCAAGGCCAGTGTAATTCTGCTGTGAAGTAGCCACTTCACGTGGGCTAATCCGAAATCATTTCGAAACCCTTTGCGCCTCTGCTTTTATTTTGAAGGCGCTCATTTCGCTCTTAAAGGGTGTTTCCAGGCCCAGGGTTGATGCCGTAAACGGGGGGTTTTTCTGCCTGGCCGATACTACTGCTACAACTATGTTGTGACTTTTAAAGTCACAACATAGTTGTAGCAGTAGTTTCTTTGCGGCATGGTGGCCATTTCACGTGGGTCACAGCTCGTTTTGAAGGCTGTAGCACGTTTTTGATTATGTTTGATCATCTCAAGTTAAAATGATATATAAATTAAAAGCCCTAAAAAGGTACGTGCCATTGAGGTTGTGAGATGTGTCCAGGTGTGCTTTCAGAGTCAGGGGGCTTTCAGGCTTGGTTCTGGTGGACAGTGGGAGGCAAAAGGGAGAAAGTAGTCCCTGGCAAACTAGAAGACATCATCTGGTTTCGTCAGCAGCAAGAACTGCAGGAAGTCAGAAATGAAGGCACAGACTTCTGGATGCTGTCTCAGATACGAGGCGTGGTCCGCCTTAAGCTCCTCCTGCCCCAACGAGACATAAACACACATTGTTATTCTTTTGAAATTATTTATCAGGTTAGATGTGACGTATGGAAGGAAACAGTATCATCTACGGTCAGTCTGAATAAATTTGTTAAATATTAAGCCAGTGTCTTTATAAGAGTCTTTGCAGAAGCCTCATGGTGACAGGCAATCCCACCTGCATTCTGCTGGCCGAGTGCCTGATCAGACAGAACAGAACATAAATTGATCAAAATGTCATATTAGCAGTGTTTTTTCCACAAAGTTATTTACAGAGCATCAAAGTCATAAATGTATGCACGTCATTGAAACAGGGGTGTTTCACCGGTGGACGAACAATAGCCTACGCCATGCACACCCATATAAAAAACTAAAAACACAAACACAGAAAAAAAAAATAATTTTAATGTTTTTTTCTCTTGCTCTCATTCACTTTCAGTTCATTAAGAATACAAGTATAAACTCTAAATGGAAAAAAACATTGCAAAATAGGTAGGTGTCATGGGTGGCTGAGTGCAGACTAAGGTGTGGACCCAAACGTAGACACAGGCAGGAGGATTCAGTTTAGCAAAATATTTATTTAAACAAAAACTGCATGGGCTTCCATAGAGCACAAGGCAAAGAGTCCAAACTAAGCTGAATCCAGAACAGAGGTAAAACCAGCAAAGAGTAAATCCAAGGAACACAGGGTAATCCAAAAACTAGGAACAAGGCACTGCTGAACACTCAACATAAACTAAACACAACTGAGAGCAATATATCCACAGGCAAAAGAGCAGGGAGGGAAGCACAGCTGAAACACAACAGGTAATCAACAACATGAAACAAAGCTAGACAAGGACACAAGAGAACAGAACACTACAAAATGAAACAGGAAGTAAAACATCCAGAAACACACAAGGACAGAGTTACCAAAGTAAAACAGAAAACGGGAAACAACTGCACAACAGAACAAAACCAGGGCAGGGAACAGAGACAGGACCAAACGGGAAGCAGGACTACACTGACATGGAGACATCCCAGATAGCAAAATTTGTGCGGCCCACCTCTGGGTCACACCCTTGCTTCAAATCTGGCCCGCTGCTGGCTGGGTCCCCCGGCTGGCCCAGATCTGGCCCACACACTGTAAAATGACTATTTTTTATTTATTTGGCCCAGATCTGGCCCACACACTGTAAAATGACTATTTTTTATTTATTTGGCCCATATCTGGCCCGCATACTGTAAAACTGATCTGGCTGAGTGTCAGAATGCCAAAATGTGGCCCATACAAAACACTTCCAATGTACACAAATTCAAAACTGGTGACATATTTGACCGTAATCGGGCCAAGTAAAATGCAATGTACTCATACTGAGTACATCATGTCGGAGTCGGCCCATTCAAGAAACACAGTGCCTCAGCCAACACAGACCTCAGCCGTCAGTGCCAAATTTCAGCCGGAATCGGGCCTACTGTGTTTGCTATCTGGGATAAGACTAGGGACTAAGACACAGACCAGGAAAAAACACTAAACATGAACTAAAGCACAGGACTAAGAACTAAGACAAGAGACAAGACAGATACTAAGAGAACTTAAACATGTGAATGAACAAAAGTCTAAATTAAGCTACAAAACCCTAAACATGACAAGATCAAATAAAGCTTACAGAACACAGAACCCAAAACCAAACCCATGAAAACAGACTAAACAGGAAAAACATGAACACAAAACCACATTCCTAACAGTAGGCATATTAGTCATGCAGCCCAAACGCACGCTGCCAACACTAAATATATAATTGTAGTCTGTAATCAACAGTGCTATTCCTACCACCCTTTGTCCACAGCGGTGGGCAGTGTGTAAGAACCCGAAGAGGTATGGTAGCTTTACCAATCATCTGCTCATGTGTGTGGCCCTCAAGCTGACAACAGATTCAAGCGTGTTTGAATATGCTCAAATAACGTTGAGACCTATCATGGGCACCACTAATTTCATTGTGTTATATCAATATTCATCACTCGCTGAAGTGCAACTGTTTTGTTGTGATCAGTAAGCCAACTGTGACAAAAACACACTTTACAATAATTTTTAAGCCTATTGCTTATTTTTCCTAAATCACATTGGAATAATTAGAAACATTTCAAAAAGGATAATTTCTTATAATGGCTCTTGTAACATGTTATTTGCCATAATGCTTTTTTTTTGAAGATTAGGAGACATTCGCTTCTTGAGAGAACTACAAAGACATTGACATTCAAATTCATCCAACCTATACCATATAGAGTTTAAAAACAGACTAATTGTATATTTTCCGTGAATCAAATTGGAAGAATTAAAACATTTAAAAAGGATATATTCTCATACTGGTGTGGCCTTAACCCAAAGGAAACCCCACTCTCTCGGATCGCCAATAACACATTTGTTCAAATCCTACACTGGAAAGAGAGAGATCCCCGATAACAAGCTAGTTTCAGTAGGCTACAAGGTTCTGGCCTACCTCAAATATCATATGTCTAACTCCAGGTTCAAAAAGTTTCCTACTCAAAGACGTTTCGTCACTCATCCAAGACACTTTATCAGTTCTTCAGTTGATTTTTACCTTCCTTGGATAATTTGTCATATATCAAAATCAAATTCAATCATTTAAGGTAAAATACTTTTTCACATCATCATCAAACTTTGTCATACTAGGATCAAACCATTTCTTCAACATTACAGCAAGGTTAGTCACATCAAACGACTTAAACCAAATAATTATAAACCAATCAGTACCAGTATTGGGTGAGAGTAGTGGGCGATATGGCCAAAACTGTTATCATAATAAAAAAATGTCATGTCGTTATTTCTTTTAAGTTTAAAGGCTAATTTTTGCTCCTAAGCACAAGTTCAAAGAAACCATATGGTTAATTGTGGTTTAAAACTATTCTTTATGGTCATATCATCAAGACAATTATGACAAAGTATTTTTGCAACAAATATTCAATAGTAAAATTACGTAAAACATTGCACATTTGTTAAATTGTTAAGGAAAATTGTATCGCAAAAAATATTCCTAATGTTTCATTGCCCAGCCCTACCAGTAATACACTTTATATATACTGATACACTTTGTCATGTAAAGCAAATATTTGTTATAAGCAAAAAAATATCACATTATGGTGTCTGCTGGCAGGAAGCTAACTTCCTGAGGGTCTTTGGATGCAGGTTCCAGCAAACTGCTATGTGTTAGAAAGTATGACAAGAAAGTCTATCACATCTCCAAGTATTAAAACCAAAGGTCATCTTTTATCATTATAAATATTTTGTTACAAATAACAGTACATAAAGTATTTTCAGTACATTTAAAAATCACCAAGCAACACTTTGATTCATTTAGCAATGCATATAAGAAATTAAGCTCAAGGAAAACACTGTTATTAACTGTCTAGAAATACTTCCTGAGTAAAGAGTAAGAAAAGAGCAAAAAGATAAAATACATTCCCATTCCTACTAGCAGTCCTGAAGCATATTCTCACAAATCATGATTACATAGCATTATTATAATGGTGATTAACAATGCATTTTAGCAACTACACAGCAACATACGTTTATAAGGTGACATTAGAAATGTATTCAGTGATTTTACGTCAAGCAATTTTAACTTGATTCCTTAAAGGGTAGAAATAAAAATAAGGAATAATCATAAGATGATTTCTCTTATGTCAAAGTGAAACATTTCCAAAGTTCCCTACCATTATATACCAACTTTGTGATACATTTTTGTTTAAGCATTAGGATAGTTTGGTTAATTTTTAAAAAAACTATTATATATTTGTGGATACACAATAATAGCTCCCGAAACAGGCTATGCCATAAAGAGATTTAAAACACACAGACAATATAGCATATTTTCAGCATTGCACATTGGTCCCAGCAGTCAGCTCACACACTGAGGACGAGCTTCTTGGTGAGGGTGTATATGATCTCTGGCATTTGTTTGTATTTTAAATATTGTCCCTTGCTGACCTCCATGTTCACATGTGTCAGGACAATGAACATATCCTCTGAGCTGCACAGAAAACATTGAAAACACATTAAAAATGTTAAATCTTGTTTAAATCATAAAACTAATACAACATCATGCCCTCTGACATATCACAAACAACATCACAGCAGATACAAAACACCAAAAACAGACCTATAAAATGAATTTTAATCTTGTTGCCTAGTCTGGGAAAAGAAACAATTTATGTTAATTTTGCTCTTGAAAAAGAATGTGTATGTATACATGATTACACACTCTGAATTGTAAAACACAGAATTCAGAAAAATTTAACCGGATTTCATAGGG